CCCCCCCCCCCCCATCTTCCCACGATTGGCGCCAAAGGACGTCATTTCCGGCTGGATCGCTGAAGAATTACTTTGACGCATGAAATAGGAAGGTTTGCGGGTGGCGAGAAATCTAACACTGAGTTGACCGCGTGTTTCTGCAAAGTTTCCGCGTTTTCATCGCGCGTAACAAAAATTCGCGTGTTGACCGGGGGGAAATTGGGAACGAAAACTATCCCAAGATGGCGGATGAAGTGTGTGGTTTGATAGAGTTTTCTCGTTTGGCTTGTTACCAACCTTAGGACGGAAACGGGGATCTCATTATTATTTTATAAGATGCTGACCCTCCTTTTTTGATATTTGAATGCTACAATGGACGAAAATCGTCACAAAAACCAGACCACGTTTCAATGTCTCAGCAGTCAGTGTACACACAGCATTGATACCAAAGGTAAGGGAAAACTCTGAAACTTCTTGTTATGTGGACAGCTTTATACTTTTACTATGTCTGCTCTTCTGGAATTATTGAAAGAGTAACTTTTAACCTGTTAAAATCATTATTTCGCCTTTTTGAAGTGCCTTGTTTCTGAATTCTTGTTTTTATCCAAACAGCTCTGCAAATTATTTATCAAGCTATTAAGGACTTTTTCCACGTTCGCATAGCCTCATCTATGTACACGGAGAGTAGAAAGAATTCAAGAAAATTATGCAAACCTCTGAGAATTCTCCCAAGTGGCTAGCTCACACTGACTGGCTATCTATGTTTGACTGCTTGATGGACTCTGACCGATGAATTGACTGAATTACTGAAATGCTTTTACACAACTAGCTGATCAACTAACTGACTATGTGAATTTGTGCATGACCTAGTGATCGTAGACTACCTGCCTAACAGTCTGATATACTGACTGCCCAAACGACTGACTAATTGAATGAATGACCAATGGAATGAAAAGTGAATTATGTGGCTGAATGAATTACTGCCTGACAAATTTTGAAATGGACCATCAGACTCACCAACTGACTGCCAAAAATCAAATGACTGATGAAATGATTCAATTGCTGAATGTCCAACTGAATGTCTGGCAAATTGAGTGACAGCCTGAGTAAGTGACAGATTGACTGACCTTTTGATATCTAGTGGACTGACTCATAGGTGGACTTGTGCAATTATGTGCATCCCATATGCAGAGATTTCTTATAATGTTTTCTAATGAACATGCACATGGAGCCATCTGGGTGATATGATAGGTAATGTGACTCTGCATCCTCAATGGCAATGGCAGTTATTTCAACAAAGTAAAATTTCTCTTTCCTTCTTCTGTTGGTGGAATAAAGAATGCATTGTACCAAGGGAATGAAATTCATTCTCACAGGTATTGGGAGATAGTACAAAATAATTCAGGCAAGAAAACTGTTATAAAATACTTGTCAGAGTTAGTGATAAATTTAAGGGGAAAATGTTGATCCAGTTATGTGTAGGTTCAGGGATAAACAAAATGTAGATTTGCTGTAAGAGAAATCTTTTGAAAATTTGAAGATTTCTAAAATTTTCAAATGCTGCAGTTCATAAATTACATATGATTACTTGTAAATGTTGGCCCAAGCTCCAGATTTTCAAGGTTTGGAAGCTCATTGACTGGTTAACTAGGTTTCTTGAATTCCTGGTAGACTGACTGATTGACTGATGCACTCACTGCCTAAGATGCTTACTATCTGACTAGTCAGCTGAGCGACTGGATGTGTAACTAACTTGCTGACTGATTGACTGAGGGACTAAATGACCTACAGACTGACCTGTTGACTGATTGAGGGACTGAATGTGTGATGGAAAAAGAATTTCACCAATTGACAGAATAGTGAATTGGGTAGCCAACTGACATGGTGGTGAGTAACTGACTGTCAGACTAAGTGACCCACCTGACTGTGTGACTTGTGCAGATCACTAGCAGACTAAATCAGGGGCTGACCAATGATGAAATACATTATGTGTATGTAAGCTATGGCTTAAGTTACTGACTGATCAAGTCAGTGATACTGAAATTATTTTTCCATCACACATGCAGTCTCTCAATCAGTCAACAGGTCAGTCTGTCAGTCATTTAGTCAGTCAGTCAATCAGTAAGACTGTTGAACTGACTTTCACAAGTTAAATAAGTGACTGACAGGCTGACTTACATTGTGACTGACTGACTGATAGAATAACTGCCTGAATAGCTGGTGACTAACTGACTGATGTATGGATTGACAGTTAAGTGGACCAACTGATAGACTGTGTGAATAACTAACCAGTTGAAGAACTAGTGGCCTGACTGGGTGATTACATGATTGACTATACTGTAGCTGACTGAGTGAGTGATAGACACACTGATTGGATGGCTGAATGACTGTCTGGCAAATGGACTAACAAGTGGAGTAACTGGCTGACTGAAAGAGTGATTGTCTGGTTCAGTGATTGTTTATCTGACCTTATGGCCAGATGGTTGACTGATGACGTGTGTTATTAATTGACTGACTGAGCAAGTGACCTTTTGACAAAATCAACTGGTGGACTGACTTGCTGACTGATTGAGTGACTGACTGATTCAGTGACTGCCCAACTGACCCTAAGGCCAGATGGCTGACTGACTGAATTTGTGATTGATTGACTGAATGAGCATCCAACTGATTTGCTAAATTACCTACTGGTGGACTGATCACTTGTCTGTCTGTCTGACTCACTGACTGTTTGTTAATGGGATAAATTACTGTATGAGTGACTAGGTTGCTGAACAATTTATTGGCTGGTCATTTGATTTTTCTGACTCTGCCTGAGAGCATTGACCGTTCACAGCCAAGGATTGTAAGGGAGAACTTTAAAGTGGCTAAATTTTTATTGACATGATAAGTTTTCAATATTTGTCTATCTAAGATCTGTTAGCGTAGAATACCTACACGTAATTTTTGAACATTGCGTGAAACAGCAGGACAGTCTTTGCACAACCTATTTTCTTTTAAGGGTAGTATGTGTTGCAAAGGCATGAAGATGTAATGTCATTAAGTATTCCACACCCTTGGCTTTTTGAAAATCCAAGATAGGAGGAACTTGTTCTTGCGCACTGATCATGACAGAGAGGTTCGGTTTTGGCGCGCAAAAATCCAAGCTGATTAGAACCACCATAATAGAGTTACTTCATCAATTCCAAGGTTGGAATTTTAGTAAGGATGTAAGTCTTTCTTCGAGCTGGAAGGGGTAGGGACATTTTCATGGGTGGAGTTATGGATTACATGTAGGACAGTTAAGGAGAAATATAAAAACAGACAGAAAGCTCTGTTCCCTTTGGCTCTACCTCTTTATTTTTCCTTTACTTTCTTGTTGTAGATTTTATGAAACATTGTTATGATGTATCAACTGCTGTAATTTGCCCAATTTTGAAATCCACTTTGCTCTCAATAAATTTTTGCAGAAAGAACAGTGGTTTATTGAGGGTTGCAGTCAGCAAGGAATTATGTGGGATGTCAGCGTGGTTGGAAAGGTACAATATGATGCAGGCTCTCATGGCCCAAGCTTTTCTTGGTCCGTGAGGAAGTTTTAGACCTTGAGCAACACGAGTCAGTCATAGGAATGAGACGGGTCTAGTAACAAAACTCTCCCCAACTTGTCTCAAATCTCCCCGTGGATGGCCGTGGGAACGTGCGTCCTGCTGCACTAAAAATGAGAGCCTTCTCGCACGCTAGCAAGAGAAGAGCTTTGCATCCTAGATATCCCAAACAGAAACCAAATCTTCAAATTCACAAGTACTCATGCATCGTCTTCGCCGAGTATCTGCTTCAAGAATAAACCTCTTGTCCAGATTGTGCAACTGGAAAAACAGTTCGGATTTTAATCCCGCTTGTGAGGTCGTGATCCTAGCTATAAATTACGTTAGAAACAAGCTGTGATTTTAATCAATAGCCGGTTTTACAACAGAGACGCAAAAATCGTTTGGACGAACAAGTCTTCTCATTGTGAAAACGGAACGAGCAAAATTTGAACATAGTCGTCTTACTTTGTTCGTCTGTTGACTGTTAAGACTAATTTACGATAAAGAACCCCCAAAAAACCGCATGGGTTAGCTTTGAGAAAATGTTTGAATTTTATGTTCACGCTGCGTTTCGTGATTAACGCGAACAGAAATTCAAGTGCATAACGACACTTGTAGAATCCAAATTCGATACCAAGAGTAAATTTCACTTTGGGCTGAAGAAAATTTCAACCTTGGTAGGAAGATGAAAGTTGATTATAAGTAATTCTCGTAGATATAAGAGAAGTTTTTAAAGTTCTTTTTCCTGCGCATGCTCGCATTCTTCGTCAAAGATGCCCGAAAGATTACCAATTTAAAAAAGTCAGGGAAGACGATATTCTTGCTGTGCTATTTTTTTTACGTAGTTGTCAATAAGTGTGCATGTCTAAATGTGATCAGTATCGTTGAACATTAAATTACGATTCTCGTGTTCTTTAACTCTTTCAGATACAGCGAGGATTTCAGCTCTAGAAGAATATCAAGAGAGACGAAAAAAACTATTTGTTGGTGAGCTAAATTTTTTTCATTTGAAATCTGGGTAACTGTAGAAATGAACACTTTTGCATCCGCAGATATATTTAGTAGTGGTTGAGTGTGATTAACTTGAACCAGAGATGCTGAATTATGCATTATTATTCCACTATGTCATTTTACCAAATGAAGTCATAACAATGCGCAAAATATGCCATGTATTTCACCGGAGAGCAAGGCAAAACTACGGAGCAACAAAATGGCTGCTTTGAACGATCTAAAATTTGTTTGTTTTGTTTTTGTGAAATGATAGTGGAATAGTAAATCCCTTATTCGATGGTTTAACTTGTATTAAATTAAATCATTAATTAATTGTTAATTAATTAATTAATTAATTAATTAATAATAAATTAATTAAATCCCTTATTCGATGGTTTAACATGTATTACAAGCAGATATTTTGCTTAGTACCGTATTTCTCCTCGCCCCTTCGGGGCTTGGAAAAAATACTACACAACTTGCAAGATATCCGCTTGTAATACATGTTAAACCATCGAATAAGATGTATACATTTCTCGCTTACTTTTACTCTTCCAGGTACCGCAAAGAATATGTCCAAAGAGAAGATCAATGAATAAAGGGGGTAAGTTTCTAAAGAAACTGTGGTGCTGCGTCAGTGGGAGAGTATAACAGGGTAATTTAGTGTTATCAACTGAGTTGAAAATGTAAATTGGCCACCGTAAAGTGTTAAAAGGCTGACGTTTTGAGTGTTAGCTCTTCGTCAGAGAGATTGAAGAGAAGATCAACAAGTAAGAGGATGAGCGTAACAGGTGAGTTATTTAACCCATGAAATTTAACCGAAGTGGAATTCCGTGGAAGTTTCAACATTCGTAAATTTGCATCTTCAAACTGCATTTAGTCTCGTTCAGCAGAAAATCAGAAGTTGTGGATTGTTTTTGTAAATTGCTCCCTCATTTTTCCTCTTCTAGATACCACAAAGATTACAAGTTTGATAGGAACGGCAAGGAAGACTAAAAAACACTAAAGGAAAAATATCCGTCATAAAGTGAAAATCTCAATTTAGTGTCAGCATTTAGGATCTCATTTCGTTTCCATTTTGAAAATGTAATTTTGAGGTGCTTTTTGATTAAAAGAGGGAAAAGAAGAAACGAAAAGTGTTTGCGTTGAAGGAAGGAGAAATTCAACGCTCCAAATTCTCGCACGTGAGACTTGCTCATTTACATACACTCACAAAGTACAATCAGACAGGTTGTATTTATTGTGACTTCAATTTTACAGTATTTGCAGAATTAAGAAATGCACAAAAAACGACGCAGACCGGTCCACCATTCCCTACTTGTATCTTACCTTGCAGATGTCATGGAAAAGTTAACATCTCAAGCAAGAGACCGAGGAAAAATGTCAACCTTGGATGAGACAAAAAATCGGGGGTCGATCCGCCACCGTCCCCCACCGCACCCACCTCTTATAGACAGTTATTTTGTAGTTTTAATACAAGTTTAACATTGTGGTACGACATATCGTAATAATCATGTGTCTTAACACACGCATGTGTTTTAAAAGATGTAGTTTACCACAAGGATAAACTTGTCTTAATACTACAAAATAACTGTCTATAAGAGGTGGGTGTGGTGGGGGACGGTGGCGGATCGACCCCTGATTTTTTTTGTCCCATCCGAGGTTGACAAATTTCCTCGGTCACTTGCTTGACATCTGTAAAGTAAGATAAAGAGACCCTCAGAGATAACTGGGAAGTAAAGAGGATGAATAAACGAATTATAAACTTCTCACAACATCACGAGGGCGCCGGATAGCGATTTATCTGCTGGATGGTGATTACCCGCTAGACCCCAATTTTTGCTTTCCTTCCAGGATTGATTTTTTTACCTGGTGTCTTGCTTGAGATGGTCATTCCTCCAACTTGTACAGAGAAACAGTTCAACTTTGTGCTTAAGTATAAAACAAGTGTCTAATGCTGATGAACAGATGGGGGAGGCACACAATATAGCCCCCACATTATTTGAGGTGGTCGAGTTACTTCTTTTTTCAAGATGGTTGTTCGTTTTAGATATAAAATCATTTGGTTTCTTTTACTTCATGCCCACAATAGATTGACTAAATCTTGACATAATTCTTTTCTCCTTCATTAAACGCCTAAACCGCGCGATCTATGAAAACAACTCTGAAAAAAAAAAAAAAAAAAAACGATCACACAAGCCTGGGTGCCGAGTTGGCGGCATAGTGCTAGGGAAATAAGATGGAAAGAAAAAACTTACCGTCTCTCCACATCGTTTTCTCTTCTTAGAGAAAGCCAACACTATGGGTCCAACGACCCCCTTTAAAATAGGGCATAAGTGGGGTGATGGCTATTTTCATCATTTTACGGCTAGGGTTTATTTATTTCTTTACATTTACATTACGTTTAAAAGAAAAATTGTTAAGGTCAAATATTTTTTACGACTACCGGTTAAGATTTGTCAATTTCTATGCCTTACGGCTTAACCTTTTTGCCGTTTCAAGTGTATGGGTTAACCCCATTAAGATCCTCTTAAAGCTTAAAAATCGGTTGATGATGAAAAAAAATAAATTCTTCACTCCTAAGATAAGGAAAGGGAAAAAAGGATATCCTTTCTCTTTGTTTTTTAGTGGACCAAGTCTGGTAGCATCCCAGATCAAGACTGAGGAAGACATTTTCTGGGTGAAGCCAACTCCATTCGAGGTCAGCTATTAGTCACCCTTCTCTTGTACACAGTTCCAGATCCGTTCGGCAAAGCAAGACAGTCCAGTTTCCAAAACAGTTTTCACACACTTCTCTTTTTTTTTGGTGGACCAAGTCTTAGCATCGCAGGTCAAGAATGAGGAAGAGATTTTCTGGGTGAAGCCGAATCCATTCGAGGTCAGCTATTAGTCACCCATCTCTTGCACACAGTTCAAGATCTGTTTAGTACAGCAAGACAGTCCCGTTTCCGAAACAGTTTTCACACTCTTCTCCTTGTTTTTTGGTGGACCAAGTCTGGTAGCATCCCAGATCAAGACTGAGGAAGAGATTTCCTGGGTGAAGCCAACTCCATTCGAGGTCAGCTATTAGTCACCCTTCTCTTGTACACAGTTCCAGATCCGTTCGGCAAAGCAAGACAGTCCAGTTTCCAAAACAGTTTTCACACACTTCTCTTTGTTTTTTGGTGGACCAAGTCTGATAGCATTCCAGATCAAGAATGAGGAAGACATTTTCTGGGTGACACCGACTTCATTCAAGGTAAGCCATTAGTCACCCATGTCTTACACGCAGTTCAAGATCTGTTTAGTACAGCAAGACTGTCCAGTTTCCAAAACAGTTTTCACACACTTCTCTTTGTTTTTTGGTGGACCAAATCTGATAGCATCCCAGATCAAGACTGAGGAAGAGATTTTCTGGATGAAGCTGACTCCATTCGAGGTCAGCTATTAGTCACCCATCTCTTGTACACAGTTCCAGATCCATTCTATGCAGCAATATAGTCCAGTTTCCGAAATAGTTTTCACTATCTTCTCTTTGTTTTTTGGTGGACTGAGTCTTACCATTTTAGATCAAGTTTGGGGAAGAGACTTAACAGGTGAAGCCGGCTCCACTGAGGCTCAGCTATTAGTCACCTGTCACTTGTACACAGCTCAAGATTCTTTCAGTGCATACAGGCAGTCCAGTTTCTGAAAAAGTTTTCGTATTTTAGTGGACCAAGTCTTATCATACCAGTTCAAGTTAAGGAAGAGACTAAATGGGTGAAGTTGAATCCACTGGGGATTAGGTATTTCTTCCTTTTCTCTTGTACAAAGTCCACAATCCAATCAGGGAATGCAGACAGTACTGTGGCCTAAATATATTTTCCCTTTTTTGATGGACTAAGTCTTTGCATCACAAAACCGGAAAAAAAAAGAAGAATTTTTTTTGGTGAAACCAATTCTTTTGTGGGTCAGCTATTACTGACCCATGCAGACTGTCCTATGGCCTAAAAAGCTTTTCCTTTTCTTCTTTTCTAAATACATTCATACTCACTTGCATATTTACAGTGGCTTTCTCCACCATGACAAAAAATCTTCTTCTTCCTTATCCTATGCAGAAGACAATTATTAATGGACATTTCAGCAATGTTGTATTTCTATTTCTATACTAATGCACTTTAATGTAGTAATGTAACACAGCTGTAGAGCTTACCATACAGCACTAAGACTTCTGCTTATTTGATCAGTAATTTACTAAATGAGTACAAAAATGCAGTTTTGTCAAAAAAAATTTGACACTTACAGGAGTTTCTTTAAAAGAATGATAACTGTGTTACAAAAAAGAGAAAATTGGTTTTCTAAGTGGATATTCATTTGTCAGTCACCAAATACTGCTTTAAGTTTTTCCCCCACCCAAAACTTTTTCATATACATGTACTTCTGATTAATTAAATTCTAAAAAGTCTGGTCAACAAAGGTTTCCATATATAGCAAAAAGATTTCCCTTTAATAAGAATCAAGAATGACTTCTTTATATCATGAGCCAGGAGAGAAAGCCAACTGTTTGTAGCACAATAAACCCACAAATGTTGATGTTTTCTCTATTTTAACTGTCCTCTGCCCCTTTTGGGGCTTCATTACCAACACTGGCTAAAAGTTATGAACTTTGTGAGTCCGCTCTATATCCTTTTTTCTTACTCAGGATCAAAGTGGGTAAGCCTATGCAGGAAAGATGGGCCGATCCTGCCCACTCGGGAAGCCAATCAGAACACTGGATTCGCCCCATGTTGCCAATGGGTGCTGCCAGCTATTTAATAACAAAATGTATATACTTACTTGTTTAGATTTTTAGACCTCCATATCCATTAATTTGAAAGGCAAAGTTTTATGTGTTATTTCAATCATTTTCAGCTATTGTCAACCAATTCACTGAATTAAGATGCTTACCTGTATAACTCAGTGCCATCTTCTGAAACATTGTCAACGGATCAATCCACTTTGTATCTTTTTCCCACTAAAAAAAAAAGTTAAAGATTTACATGTAATTCCAGCAGGTCCTCACCCTTTCACTCCTGGGATCTCATTAGTAATCCTTGCTACTGTCTGCTATGCAATTCTTATTATGTTAGTTCAGATAATTTGGTATTGGATCAACTACAGCAGTAATAATAATCTCATGTTATAAGGAGAAATTCTGTCTTGGTCACTCATGGGAGTTAAAGGGGTAACAATATTGAGAACTCCAGTGCCAGCAATATAAAAAGCCATTAATAATAGTAATTGGACCAAGAGGAGTCCAATTTGGACTGTGATCATACAAGTGATTAAAAAGATTGGACAACTGCTTGTCAATCACAAGTATGATTATAGACAGATTTGGACTACACCAAGTCCTGTTACCAATTAATCATAAACGTACCTTATTTTTTTGTAAATTTACGTATCGCATTCCTTGTTTTGTGTTATTTTGTTTTTGTTTCTGCTTTTTGTTTCACATTAAAAATGTTATGCAGAAAAAAAACCTGTGAGCAAATAACAAAATAAAACAATAACAACAACATGAAACTCATCACAGAGTGTACTTGTCTGTCGATCAGCCATTAGCTAAGTTATAAGTGGGTCAGCCAACTAGTCAGTCAGTAGATAATTCAGTCAGTCAGTCAAACTTGTATTGTGTCAGGTAATTGTATTGTTACAGGTGTAAAATGCAGCAAATGGGAGATAACAATTCACTTGGGTAAAATCAACTACAACTGACATCCTGTCAGGTGACAGACACATTAAGATACTTACCCTAGGCTGAGGAACTGCGGGGGAAATTGGTTCCATTATCACAATTTCCCTGCCACAACCAGTGCACCACAGTGATCCACATTTTTGGAAGTAAATTTGAGCTCCTGTCATTAGATCTTTAGAGAGCAACACAAACAGTTTGTATTTTTACTATATGTTCTGACTAAGAAGTGCAAAGGTTTTTCTCTTTTGCTTGCTCATAAGTTTTAGTTTAGTTGCAGAGTTTCCTACTCTATATACATGTATAAAGTCGACATGGTTTACTGTCTACATCTTTGAATTCTTCTAATAACATT